CTTACGCGAATTCGGAATAAGAATCCTTCTTGCTCTCAATCTCGTTTTTCTTTTTATATCTTTCAATTTATTCATATTAATCGCGTTCTTGGTTACTTGTCGTTGGCTTTCGCAGAGATCCGGTTCCTCTGGAAAATTAGGGTTTTCCTAACTTTCCTTATTTTACGGAAATCGACAAGTGTGAATCTCGGTTCCCACAAAAATGAGAGAACCATTGGAGCAAATCACAACTTCATTTTGAGGAAAAATATGAGAGAACCTATTGGATAAGGTCTAAGTACAACGAAAACGAAAAAAACATAACCTTAGGTACAATGCTTCTCATTTTGAGGTGTTTTGTTGCCAATTTTTGTTGATACTTGTTGGGCCCAAATATGGCCCGTCGGCTGAAGTTAGCGAACCAGTTAAACCGAGCCCAATAATGGGCCGAATATGGGCTACTACCTCCAAGAAGAATATGGCTCACCTAAGGAAGAAAGCTGCTCCCAAAGAGGTCACGAGAAAGAGGTCACGAGAAGGAGGTCACGGAGAAGAGGTCCGGATTCTTTCGTAGGGACCTGACGAAACAGCCTAGGAAACGAAGATAGAGACATACGATTTGGTCAAAAGGAAGCTGTTGCAAATCCCTTAGTTTACGGAGAGAATCTGGGAGGCTGATTAGGGGAAGTTACGCATGACATAAGGCTATTTAAAGGAGAAAAGAACAAGGAGAAAAGGATTCACGTCTTTTTACACATTTTACACATACATTATCACTGGTAGATCATTCAAGTGTTTCCTTTGTATCAATCTCAATTATCTTTGTATTCATTCTCTTTACAAAAACATCAATATAACAACAATTCATTCTCTAAGTTCTTAAGGGATTCAGCCCACGATTGTCTTCTCCCCAAACCTTAACCTAACCTAAATTAAGAAGTGAGTTTTACCCCTCACAATACTCATCAATGATTACTTACATCTGTCTTCTCGTTTTGAGTGGTTTTGTTACAAACTAATATCTTCTCCCTCAGTGAATGGAATTATTTATCGTTATGTAGTATCAGGATGTGTGAAGAGGGGTGGGCGCAAG